AAGAGTACTTGGTGACAAAGAGATGATCTCCTTTCGTGATGGTTTGTACAATTAAAAATAAAAACGCTTAAATGCTTATTCAAAGTAAACTGTTACTAAAACCAGAACTCTTCACAAAAACCCATACTCAGAAGCAGATCTTAACTAGTAAACAGTTCATACAAACCTCCCACTGAATATAAATACTTCAGTGTAAACACAGGTGAGCCCAACTCTGCAAAAAATATTACTGATCTGTTTACTCTAGCTTCAACCATAAGTCACTTACCATTTTAAAATAATATTCATGTGGTTGGGGGGTAAAAACATCTTAAACATATACACATGCATCTGGAAGATTTTATCTTCCACCACCACCAAATCCTAGAAGGTTTTCTTTTTTTCTTGGCTACTGAATAATCTTGAAAGTATCCTGCCCTTGATATACTATTCTAGGTCAATTTTATCAGTGTATTCCAGAAACTCAGATCTCCAGAGTACAACACTGATTTAAGAGATAGCCTATCTAGCAACCAAAGAATTTTTCTAACTACTAAAAGTCCTCTTATTCTCTTCTCATATTCAGTGATAGGTAATAGTAACCAAATTCCACAAAATTTCACAGTAAGCAGAATCATTAACATGTTGGCATTTAGGAATCCCTCCTATTCAAGAATGTAATATGTGAATTAATACATAAAAGAGCCCAAGATACACAAACTGAGTTTTTGTATATCAATTCTATTTTTTCTAACTGAAGCCAAAGCTGTTAGAGTACAACTGGATAACCTGAGCTCATACCTAAAGGAAAATAGATGCCTTTATAAATACATTCAGTTCTCACATTATCCTTTGGCTTCTCTAGAGAATAAACTCACACACGTGTGTGCACCGTACCACTACTTGGTACAGAGCCATCCAAGATGAGCAGGTCTGATTCTGACCTGTTCCTGGGGTAGACATTTCAACGGAATCATCATCAGTCACAGCAGACCCCGAGAGCTCACTTGCTAATTTGCCAGAAAATACCTGCCTGGGATTGGATGCAACATTCTGGGCAATCCTCTTAAGATCCTAGTGAACCCAATAACAAGACCCTAGGGAGGCCCGAAACCCCTTCAGGCCTCTGCCTCTGATGAGGAACAACGAGGCCCCCCACCTACCTATTTCCTGCAAGATGGGAGAAAGACAGGAATACTGAGATAATGTCTGCACAGTCCAATGCAGCTTTTGTCTTTTCTGTTAGTTACTATCTAACCACTGTCTTGACTTGAGAACTGGCTAAAGTACAAATAAATCTTTAAGAACTTCTCCTTAAGATTTAGAGGATTCTGTTTTGTTGGTTTGCAGCTGTTTTCTTTCATCAAGGAACAGCAGACATCAGATTTGTCGGAGATCAACCTGGGTAGTACACCCAGGCTAAGCACGTGACTCCCTTTTTGCTCAGGCTTATTCCAGAACCCTGGGAAATCCCTTTGCCTCTTGCCATGCTCACCTTGAATGCAGAGAGATGATATGTGTCCCCACCTACCTGTTTCTTATAAATCAGGGAGAAAGAGAGGGACAATGAGATAATGTCTGTGAAGAGCTGAGTGCCTACAGAATAAAAGCTCTCATGAATACATCCATATAAAAGCTCTTATTGACACATGCTTTTCCTTTTGACAAACATGGGATAACATTTCAAACCAAAGGCCTACTTATACAGAAGAGGCAATTAAGAGTGTAAAACATTGCAGCACTGTGGTTCTGTGGTACTCCCTTATGAGAACAGAGTCTAAGAATGTGAAGGTGGACAAATACTACAGTGCCAACCAGCGCCCATCTGGTTCTCAGGGACAGTTCTGATCTGATTCACCCAGACACACTACTGCTGCACTCTTCTAGGGGGCACTCCCAAATCCCCTGGATTCCCACCATCTCGGAGGAGATCTACTGCGTAGAGGAACAGGGTGACCGAAACGGAAGCTGTAAACCTAACTATCAGCAATTGTGAGGCGAGCAGGATACATGAATTTTATTGAAATGCAAACAGGCTTCTTTCTAAGGCACATTTTCTCCTCACTGGCCCCATCTGAAAGATTTAGTCAGCTTCACATTTGTGTCTGTCCACAGCTTTAAGAAGCTGCTAGTGACCCCGGTCACGCTGGGGAAGAATGTAGCTGCCTGAAGGAAGCAAGGCACTGGAGGAACTGGATGTGCGGAAGTTCCCCAAACCACAATCAACCAACAACCAAATAGTGTTGCTGTGAGTCTGAGTGTGGCCCACTGTCATTGGCCTTCTTGGCCTATGCTATAACCCTGGCATCCATGGCCTTTGTTCCCTGACTGTCTGACTTCTGCTACCCAGACATGTGAGAAATAGAACCTTACCTTCATGGACTATTTAAAAACTTAGTGCATGACCAGCCTACCCTTTTCCGGATTAAAATGAGGACAATGCTAAACATACAAACAGAATAAAACAACTAGTATGCCACTGATGATTAAGAAAACTGAGATAAGTGACATTTATATTTAAGATTTTGATAAAACAAGGCAGGCAAAAAACAAAAAAAACACCCAAAAAACAACTTACCATATTTCTACTTACTGAGTCATGTGTAATCAATCTATTTACTGGTTCTTGACAAATATGGCAAAACCATTCAACCAGATAAATTACACATATAAGTGGAATGAATCTGCTATCATAATCACAAATTCACAGTGAAATATAAATGAAAGTAATTTAAAAGATTCATTTGACAACAGTTTGCCAGTGCCTACAAGTTCAAGGATGCCATAATTTGTAGTCATGGCATCCCAAACAGGGACATTCGGTCTTTGGCAAATCATTTGGATTACTATGATGGAAAAATAGCTATCTTTTCATTTTTAATTCAGAACGCAAATGAGGGATCCCATAATATACCAGAGGAGAAACATGTTCCAAAAGTCACATGTATCAAACCAGAAGAATGAATTCTTGAAGTATGTGTGATTTAGCAAATGGAAAATTCCTTGGAGACAAAGGGTAACCATATAATGATGGCCTATTGGACTGGCATAGAGATAAAAATCTGCAGCCTATATGGCCATTTACCTTTGGTGTCACAGTGTCTATCTTTGGGTACAGTTTTCCATAGTTTCCACAAAACTAGCATGACTTCATTCATTTTTAAGAAATGGCAGGAGCTGCTAGATTCTTTAGTGGTAACAATTTTAAAGTATTTTACTCCATAAAATTAATAACTATGATAGGTAAGAGACAAATGCTTCTATTACTTGAGGTAAGCTCTTAGAACTGCATATATTCTTAAGAGAATTTCAAAGATCAGAAAAAACTTTCTACTTAATAAAAGGCATGACGACCCAACACCTTTGATAGTCTAGTCTTTGTTCAGTAGGAGAAATATTACAGATAAGTGCTTATCTTCCTGGGAGGCAAGATTTGGTACCATTTCCTAGTAAGAGGGACAAAACAGTGTCATGCAGTAAACTCCCACTTCTTGAATCTAACAGTTAGCTTCTTTGTGGCAAGAGAATACTTCATTTCCAAGCAGCCAAATAAAACCAACAAATAGGGGAGAAAAAAGTTTTCTCAGCCAAGTTGAGTCACTCAACTTCCAGTAGAAGCCCGTTATTACATTACTATATAAACTCACCTCCTTTATTCTACTTATTTATGTATTCATTTGAGCTTTTTCCAATAAAGATTTGAGAAGAAGCCAGATTCAAATATAGAATTCATGTAATCAACATTTAGAAAGTGCCTACTGAAACAAGACATTGCTAACAGAAGCTCAATACATCTTGTCAAAGTCAAGCATAGCAATGCTCATCTCTAAGGTAGTATAGTACATCCCCAAGTGGGAAACCTTTTCATATGAATGAAAAGAACCTAAATTCTTAGGTCTTTTCATTTTATTCTTTAGTAGAATTTCTTTCTTTTCTCTCTGAACAATATTTGGATTCTGGGAGACTCTGAAGTAGGGTTTCAGAGTTTATTTCAGAGATACAGGAATTTGGCTTGACTCTTGCTGATGCGTACTTGTTTTTGAACTCTTCAGTAAAATGAGTATGTGCTAGCTTTTAGTCATCAATAATATGTGCCAAACACCTATATGATAGATTTCTTTTGAAGGCTTTAATGCACTTTTGTAGATGTCATCTTATGTATCCTCATAGATTTTTCTATTTAAAGACTTCAGACAGCTGCCACATCATCGTTGTGACATAAGGAAAGACAAGTTCTTAGATAATCTGCAAACAGAAAAACTGAGACCGAGGATCCAGGTAGTTTACCCAGAGATTACAGGGACAGAACTGGTACATCATTTCTTCACTAGATTGCACCCGTCCTCACTTACTTGTATGGATAATACGAAGACATTTACGTGTCTTTTTTCCTTCTGCTCAATTACTACATATATGTAAAGGCTTACTGTTTAGTTCTGTTAATTCAGATATTTCGAAAACATAAGGTGTTTACTTAATAACCAAGCCCCTCCACAGTTATAAAATTGTAATACTGAGCTGAGAGATTAAGATACGTGGTTCGTTGGTAAAGAGCATGGATTTGGAGTCAGACAGGCATGAATTCAAATCTCCGTTGAGTGGTACTGTGACCCTGAGCAAATTCTTTACCTACTGGAATCCTCAGCTGTAAGTGGGGCAGTGATACCTCTTAGGAGTGTATCAAATGAGGTCACATACATGAATTGCTTAGCACGATGCTCTATGTGGTAGCTAACGCCACTATCAGCAAAACTGTTGAGAGCCCTGCATAGATTTTGGGTAGTTTCTGACAAGTCTTCTACTGTTTAACGCAGAAGATTAAGTACTGATCTTGGTAACGGTAAAGGAGCTGAGCAAAAATAGTTTGGTAAAGCTGCCGTGACAAGAATCTAAACACTGGACGGAAGGAAAGACGCGAAAATGGTAGAGCGCTACCACTGGGTTGTGGATTAGCGGGCGCACCAGGGTAGGGGTGTGTGGGGCGGGCAAGCGGGGGGGCGGGGCGTGCAGCCTTCACTCACGCGGGGGTGACGCCCTTGGGCAGGCCCAGGGCGTTGACGGCCACCGACGGTGGCTGCGAGGGCAGCAGGGCGCTGAGGAAGGCCGCGGGCGTCTGGCTGTGGCCGAAGCGGGCCGTGGGCGAGGCG